GCGCACATGTTGAATCATGGTGATGCGGAACATGCGTTTATTCATGGTCACAAGAATCCGTGGTGACAGCAGCAGTACCCTTTTGGAAGCCTGAGCCCAGTGGATAGCCTACCTCCCGCTTGCTGCGGTTACTCGTGTCGGCACGGTGTATAGACGGTTCGGGGCCGTCTCTCCTCTGTTTCCACCGAGCGTGTGGGAGGTTAATTCGCTTGCGCCAGTTTCTTGTGTCCGGGGTACTCACAGGGGGGGGGAGCGGGAGGGTCACAACACGTCCCCGCCACCTCGATTATTGTGGGGGCGGGGGCACTGAGTGGTATTGAATCCATGCCTGATGCCCACGCCCACCCTCCTTTGTAACTCTGTGCTTACCGAGAGATACCCTCCGTTTGCTCAACCTGCCGCAACCAGGCACATTACAACTTGGAAAAATCCCAGAAGGACTCCCGTTACGCGACGCTTCAAAGCAGATTCGACGCTGCAAAGGTACGATAGCAGGCCACGTACAGAAGGCAACGTGTTGTGCCGAGCACGGTGCGATAGCTTATTAGAGACCGCTTGGAGGGAGACCCTTCTGGCGTAACACAAATCATATGTGTAGGGCGTGTTGGACGGTGGTGATAACTTGCGCTAGAAATCGCCCCCCGACAGGGAACACCCAATCCCGAAGAGCTCGACGTCGGAGCGACGACACGGACGACTGTGCTGATTCACGCGCCGTACTGCTGTACCGCACGCACCCCATGTTTTTTTGCCCGCCGGACGCTGGGCGCGTGTGTGGCTCGTCCCCCCCGGCCTGCCTGCAGGCAAGCGGCGACAGCACCCGAGACGAGCTATTCGGGGGTCGGAGAGACGTGGAAAGCGGGGAGGCGCAGGGCAAGTCAGCGGAGGCCAAGCTGACCGAGGCAGACCAGTACCAGGATAAGACGGAGGCGGCCTACAAGGTACATGCCACTATTTTTGCCTCATGACTGCTCTGCTGAAATTGTCGCGAGCCATGCGTACGCAGCCTCCTTCCCTATTCCGGATCTCGAACAGCTCACCCCCGATACTCTCAGTGATACGTAGATACGTGTGTATGCGCGCTGCATGGCTGGAGACCCCTGGTTCTCTAGCTGCGTGGCGACAAACGATGCTTTCTACTCTGGTCTCGTCTTGTCCTTCGACGAGCAGTTTGTACGCCGCCCTGCCTGCGTTTTACGCACTCTGTTTGGGTCGGGCTGCCGGCCGCGGCTGCTAATGGTTTCAGACGCATGTGTGCACCTAGCTTGGTTCGAAAGTGATTTTTGTCGTCGATGGTAACACAAAACACCAAGTCGCTCAATATCTGCCGGCTTTTGCTGTTTTCCACGGGGTACTCTGGCTTGTTCTCAATCTCGCTCGTTTGTGTGCCAGCTGATGGAGTCAGCCGAACCTTATGGTGAGCGATGCAGCCCCGACTAATAGCGCTCGCCGCGATAAATTTTGCGGGGTAGAACGTTTTTCGAGGCCGTGCGCTGGTGTCAGTTGAGCTGTTTGAGAGAGAAGGGCAAGCTCCGAGGGGCGCATGTTCACACCCCCTATATGCACACACGATTTGTACCTGCTGCGTTCGCGCCCCGTGTAATTGACATATGCATGCACCTGCGGTTCTCGAGGTGCCAGTCTTGCGATGCATTGCAAAACGGTGTTCTATGACTTGGGGCGGTATTCAAAATGACACACGCATGTCTCCATGCCGCGGTCTCCTTCGATGGCTGCTGGGGTTGGTGGCCTTGCTGACTGTCATCTTTGCCTTGTGTTGTCCTGTTTGTTCTCGTCGAAGAGCGAGGGGTTTTCTGCGTTGCCCGAAGGGCCTGCGTGGGACGGAGTGCGGCGGAATCGATTGCCATTCTGTAAACATATTTGTAAATCTTTGATGGTCTTAATTGGTTGAGGTTGGCTGGGTTGTTCGAGAAAAAAATACGTCAGCTGTGTGAGCTTGGGAAACGTGACACACCGCAGCTAGCAGCTATGAGTCGGTCCTGCTGCCTGCGTTTATTTTGATCTTGCATCACCCCTTGATGACGCTGCTGTGCTCTCTCATCAACCCATTCGAGAGGGATCACTTGTGTTTGTGGGTGTTACAAGTATGCCACAGCAAGTCTGTCTGGGCTGCCAAATGAAAAAAACAGCGTCACCCGCAACTTAATACCTGGACTGCTCCCGAACACGACGAAAAACAGAACATGATAGGGGTGCTTCAGGAGACGGAAGCGACGGCAGACAACACCGCGGTGGAGCTGACCAATCAGCGCGAGCAGCTCGCGCGCATCACCGAGGACGTGACCGAGATCGATTCGCTCTTGACAAGGGCGGACCGGCTGGTTAAGGTCTTCTCCAAGCGGATGATGACCGATAAGGTGCGTTTTTTTTTTTCTTTTCGTCGTTCTTGAGTCGTGATGTGGACAGGCTTTAAATAGTCGAGCGCAATTCTTTCTCTTGCTCGCACAACACATGATACAGCTGTACGGTGTTGTACGTCGGCGGGTGTCTCGCGTTCTCAAGCGCTTTCTATCCACAAAACGACATTTTATCACGACGCGGTATGGGGTGACTCTACTGACAACGACAAGGCAAGTGGTAACCCCTCGTTGTTTCTCTTGCTGAGAAATGCCGACCGTGCGGGTTTCGCCTGGATTTGTTCTGTTGTGGTGGCCCCTGTCTTGTTGACGCTCGTGGCCTGACCCGGATTCTCAGATGGTGGCTGGCAACACATGATACCAAAGCTACTTTTAAGCGAGTGAGCGCAGAATCAATCGTCTCTTGCGTTTGGTGTTTGGCTGGCTGTCGCCTATCGAACGTGCCGCTTTCTGTCGGTGGTGAGCTTGCTACCGTGAACTAGATCTCTCTCTCCACTCCACCCTCCACCAACACGAACGCGCGTTCTTGCTCGTTCGCTTTCCGTGTTTCTCTGTGTCTCTGTCTCTGTCTCTGTCTCTTCTGTGTTGTATGTCTCTCTCTCCCTCTCTCTCTCGCTCTCTCGCTCTCTCTCTCTCTCTCTCTCTCTCTCTCTCTCTCTCTCTCTCTCTCCCCCTCTCTATCTCTCTTTCCCCCCCTCTCTATCTCTCCCTCAGTTCATCCAATGCTTCGGGTGCTTAAACGTGAGCGCAATGGTGGCGATCATCGTCTACGTGGTGGTCCAGCAAGTAGAGCTCCCGGGGGGCGATGACAACGATGTCCCTGACCCGGCCGCAGGAAGTTAATCAATTGAGCCGTTTTGGCACCGGGATTTGGTACGTCCGGGGGGGCGGGAGGGAACGCCACCGTACGCATGAGAAGAGAAGGCTCAGCCGGGCGTGATACATTTTTGTTTGCGAGATGACTTCTGAAAGGAACATGTGTCCAGGGCACTAGCTTTTTGTACCAAGTACTTAATTGTAGGATTGGTTTGTGAGGGGTGGGGTTGAGAAGAAGTGTCCTTTGGCGCGCAATTTGTTTGTTGTTCGCACTCTAGGCGGCTGTAAACGGGCTTTCACCGAATGGGCAGGAGACCGAAAGCTCGTGATTGATCCCCCCGGCGGTGTAAGTTTTTCTGTTGAGGCTGGGGGATGATATTTGCCCCGCAACTTCGACATGGGGTTAGGGTTAGGGGTGTGATATTTGTATTTTTAGCCACTATTGTTGTGCAGAATGGGAGGGAGAAGCAGACACCGGCAGCCACCCCCGTCCGCCGCTGACTTACCAGTACTTGTAGCTGTTGGATGTGTGGTCAAAGGGCCAAAGTTTGTTGTGTGTGTGTGTTGTCGTAGGCGTACGTGCCATTGAGCGCCTCGCGCCTTTGGCAGGCTTTAGTGGTGTTTTGTTGCCCGCGTTTTTTTCGGCAGTGGAAGCGAAGAAAAGTGCCCATAAGCGTTCATCGCGCACTTGACGCGGCATCATGCAAGTAGCGTCCACGCAGGCTTTTTCCCCTGTAGTGCCGCATTGTGTGTTTGGTCGACCGTACGTCGTCGGCGGATCAATCGGTTGGTGACTCGACGGAGAAAGGAGAAGCGCGTCGCTGACACCCCCGGGGGCAGCAAATCCCCAAACTCCGACTCCAGTTGATGGGTATCCTCTCTCAACGTCAGATGCAGTCACGCTTCGGGCGGGGCAAACGGCGGGTGCACGAACCAAACGTACGCAAGAAAATGTGAGGGCACTTATGGCCAGCGGCACTCACTATCGGCGCAGTTTCGCGACGATGAGTCCGGTCGGGGAGCCCACCTCCGTCCTATCGTAGAGCATGTCCACCACCATCATTTCTTTCACCTCTACCACTCCTGCGATGCACCGTCTTCGGCCGTGGTGTGGTCTCTTGCCCAGACACGCGGTCGCACGTGTCGGATTCTTCTGCGGATGACCCGCTCGCGTCAGCATTGCCGACGTTGAGCTCCCACCATGGTCACCAGCAGGGGCACTCTCTCAAGACCTCGGGGCAGCCCTTCGTGCCTGTTTACTTGGGGCACAGGGGTGGCGGGACCTGACCGAATCGTTTAAGGGTCCGCCAACGGAGCGCGTGACGCGCTTTGTTGGGCACATTTCGCCGTGTCAGCGTCCCTACGCGCTACGCCAACCCAGCGAAATCATGGTAACATGTTATGTTTCCGTTGCATCGGCACTACGCACGACGCCTTCTTCGGGGAAATCACGGCAACAACGTGCTGTTTGCGCGTCTCCTTTGTACCGAGGAAACGGCACAACAAGCGAGCGATCACGTCAACAGTAAATGGGTGTCGTCGGCGGCGATGTTGTCTCTGTCGTGGTCGGTCGGCTCGTGCAAGTCGCATTGATTTCCGTTCCGGGAGAGAAGCCTTGCGGCGGAAAGGTGAACAAGTCATCGATTGTCGCGTTCGCTCGCGAGTCACTTTTCGGCTCTGCAGAGTCGCTCACGAAGCTTCGAATTGGTTACTCGAGAGCTTTTCCTAGTGCGGTGATCATTGAGTTCTACATGTAGTTTCTCAGTTCAGGTGACAGCTCGACCGGTGCGCAGCAAGGCGCTTTCGGTTCCAACAAATCTCAACAGGCACAATGAATTGTAAATGGCCGATGACAGCAAATGACCCCCCTGATTCATACAAGCTGTCGATACGCACAAACCCACCGATGCACGAAGTGGTTCACCGGCCACGCATACATGCACGCTTGCTTTCCAGGCGAAAAAGAGTGGCGATGGCAACATCGTGAGGACTTGTCGTCATGCCACACATGTTGATTTAGCGAGATTGGTCTGAGGGAGGAGATACACCGTCCCCCCCTCCCCCTTCCCACCATACCATCACAACTTCCACCTCCAACAACAGCATCACGACGAAACCAAGGAGACCAATACCATCACCCCCACCCCCAACCCCTCCAACCCCCCCATCATCACCAAACTCCCACCAATGACAACAAGCATCACAACAAAAGCAACAAGACCATTCACCATCACCCCCACGCCCGCAAACTCCGACCAACACCTTCATTATCACCAAACCATGACCAACGACAACAAGCTTCCACCACCGCCATCACCGCCTCCACCGACAACGAACGCCAATATAGCACAACATGATGGGCTACACACAACATCACCAACCTGTAATATTTTCCGTGTGTCATCCCATACAACAACTGTCTGACTGCCGATCTGCCCCATCCCCCCCCCCGCCCGTGCCTGCACAAGTATGTCACCAACACACAAGCGTGTGCGAGGTAACACACCCAGAGAGAGAGGGACGGGTTCCACAGAAAGAGGTAGGGTCGACAGGTAGGTAGGATCACGGGACCCTTTCTACGGTTACGCACGGCACGGAATTAATTGCTCTCACACGACAACCAAAAATCTGACCAACGCACAAACAAACGCAAACAAACGATAATTCTTGATATGGCCTCAGACGCGACGCTCCTTCCATCTCTGAAGTGTTTATAGAGCGTGCGCCCCCACAGGAACATCAGGATTTGAGTCAGTAGTCAATAACACCTCAGTTATCATCACACCGTCACCGTAGTCATCGCATGGTACCTGCAAGCGTTTCGTCGCCACGCGTATCCCTATCCGAACCATCTCTCCATACATGGCACATCGCCATACGTCCGATCGCCGCACCCTTCCCTTTTCATGAAGGGGACACGGAAGAGAAGTGCGCATGTGATGAACCAAGCATACCCCCCCCCCCTCCTTCCTCCCGACCCACTAAAAAAAAAAAACACACACACACATGCAGTACAAGCCGACAACATTTCTGCAAGTTCTTGACTAGTATTGAACATCCACGTCATGACCACCAGGAGCCCGCTTGCATCACTCAGCTAAATATTACGAAACGGAAACGACACCAAAACGTTTGGCCCAGGCTTTACCAATGACCTCACCGCATCAACAACGGGGCTCATGCTACGGACCGAGTTATCACCTCCTCCCGTGACACTACTGTCCACACACACGTGCATCCGCTCCCCCACGGGGGTTCCATCACACCACCTCGACGCGACCTCGATGCTCGCCACCGCCAAAGCCAAGCCACCGCCGCACCACGATCTACCTGTGACTGGTAGCCTGATACCCAGCACTTCCTTCACTAGCAGCCCCCGCGTGCGCGCTGTCCCCAGCCCCGTCGCCAGGGCTTTGGAGCACGGAGAAGTGGTGCTGGTGGTGGACGTAATGGTGGTGAACGTGGTGCTGCACGACGACTTGCGGGGGGCCCTGCCCGACAACCGGTACCCCCACCGTAGGCTGCATGAAAGTCGACTGCTGCTGCCCCCCCCCGAAGCTCCCGTTCGCCACCGCTTCGCCTCTGGAAACGATTTCCTGGTGATGATGCATACCATGATGAGATTGCAGGGTGTCTCCGATTCCACCGCGGAATATGTTGTTGTTGCCGGAGTCGGGCACTGGGACGCCTGGAATCAAGGGGCCCATCAGGGTGAGTCCTCCAGGCTCTCGCTGCACGGCTGGGCGTAGGTAGCCGCGCCGTCGCTGTACCGCGCCGCGACTCTTCATCCTCCCACCTTCACCACCACCCCTACCATCGCGGAAGTGGGTCGTCGATCTCCAGGGGACCGTAGCATCGTTACGAGCGGCGGAAGCGCTGGCACGGTGTTGAGACCCGACGGCAACAATGCTCGCATTATTCGTCGCTGCGTTGCGAGAGAGTGTGCTTCGAGGGGGATCGACGGCACCAACACCTGTCACACGGGATATCCACTCAGGCTCTGGTGCGTGACAGTCCTGCTGCCGCTGCCGCTGCTGCTGCTGCGGCTTGTTCTTGTCCTGCTGCTGCTCAAAACGCTTGTAGGGTTGCTTCACATTCGTTTCATCTTCTTGGACTTGAGCGGGGATCCGTCGCGGCGGAGGCCTAAACAGCACACGGCCGGCAGAAGCAGGAGCAGTGGTGGTACTTCGAGGAAGCGAAGCAGAAGGAGCGGCACGGGGAGCGGCAGGAGGAGCAGCAGAAGAAGCAGCAGAAGAAGCAGCAGAAGAAGCAGCACCAGCAGCAGTAGAAGGAGCAGTAGCAGCAGAATCAGCAGCAGAAGGAGTAGAACAGGCAGTAGTAGACGCAACAGCTGAAGGACGAGCAGAAAGAGCAGAAGGAGCAACTGAAGAAGGAGCACAAAAAGCAGCAGCAGCAGGAGTAGCAGCAGGAGAAGCTGTAGAAGCAGCGGCAGAAGCAGCAGCCGCGGCAGCAGCATCCCCATCGTCGACTTTTTCCTCCTTGTGGGTTAGGGGCCCGCCAACGCCATGCGCGCTCACCTGGGCAAGCAGCACGGCGCGCTCTACAACAGCCTCCGGTGGAGACTGGGCCTCTTGCTGAGACACGTCGACGTTCGACGAGACACAGGCATTTTTCGCTTTCTCTACACTCAAACCTTCGGCGCCGACTAGCCTTGTCGCAACCCCAAGATCTTGCGACATCTTCCCCATCTTCCCCCCAGAGATGGGCACACGCGGTCGGTTGAGCGGGGCGCATGCAAGCACAGCCCAGCGGTAGCAGTCGCGAAGGAACGGAAGGGGCGAGGGCACGGGAAAGCCGGCTGTGAGGAAGAAACTTCATTGCGGCCACGCGAAGCTTCAAGCGCCACGTTTTTCACGGTCTGTCACCTACGCCCCACAAGGCCTCATGCAGCACTTTTGTCCCACCTCCGTTTCGAGCTTTGCCTGGGCGGACGCTTGGCCACAAGGGTCGACGACTTGTCCCCTGAGCTCCATGCCGTCGAGCCACAGGTCGACCCCCACGGCCTCCGACAGTGTCTCCACGAACCGGTAGCGGATGTCCTTGACACCGCCCGCCACAACGTTGCGGCCATAGCGCTGCGCGGCCTTGCTGGCTAGCATGGGGCTGAGCTCGACGCTCACGTTCTGGGCACGCCATTGCCGCACCGCGTGACGAAGGACTCGACACTTTTTGGCCGGACAGGGGGACAAGAGTATGACAAATTAGAACGAGGGGGGTCTGCGACGTGGAAGGCATTTCAACGGCGAAAAATTGAAAGGAAAAGAAATCCAAGGTCTTGACAGCACATCAGGTAGGGGAACCACCTGGTACAGGCTGCCTCGTCACCTGGTACATGTGTGGTGCACGAAGCACACATCATGTGCCACCCGGAAAGAGCAGCAAAAGTAAGAACAGACAGTGCATGTGGCACATTCCCCACTCACCATCGCTTGCAGCTTCCCTTCATTGCCACCCGTCATCTGCACCACGAGCCTCTTCTCGAGCCAGACAAGAAACATCTTTACCTCGTCTACGTCTGCGCCGCCCGCTCGTGCCATCTCTTGGACTGCATGACTCGTGGCCATTATTCGCATGGCACCCGTACTCTTCATGTCCACCTATGTATGTATGTAGAGCGAAGCAAATGAAACATGCACGCCGGGAGTTGCAGCTCGGGTCAGCGAGTGTGAAGGCCGGGATGTTCGCTTTCGCGTTCCCAGGCAAGCACCCCGGAGCATTCAAGCGCATACCGCAGAGACGGAACCGGGCAACCTGTGCATCAGCTGCAGCATCCGCTGCAGCTGAAAATCTTGGCCGATATCATCAGCCAAAGTTCGTCAAAAGAGAGGGCAGGTTTCTACGTGGTGCAGCAGGCCAACCACCGTCCGACTGATGCGGCGAAGAGGCGACAGGCAGGCCGTTATTCAACGTTGGGTCAACTTGCTTGCGCACAGAGGAAGCACAGCCGGCGTACAGAGTTGATGCTGTGCAGAGCAGTACACACCGCGGTGCATACCACAGTTTTGTAGATCCTGAAGGTGCACGTCATCGCAGAAGGAGCTGCCTAAGCCTGAATGTGTCTCGCGCGCACAATCGCTTACCGCCTGGATGATGTCCGGCACGACCTCCGACAGGGACTCCGCAACGGCACAGAACACCTTGTCCGCGACGGCGCGCTGACCGGCAACGTGCACGACTTGACCGCCGTCTTCGAGCTTAACCTTTGGACCAAAGTTGAGAGGTGCGGCGACCAAGTTGAGGCGCAGCGACACCGTAGGGCCCAACAACACGTGTCGCGCATTTGTTGCGGCCTGCTCGTCACCGGAAGTAAGGCCTCCTCCGCCTCCCGTGGTTGATACATGTTCCGTGGAACAAAACAAACGGATCTTGTCGCGGAAAGCGTTGTGTTCACCTTCATCGTACATGTGGTACCCGAGAAGGCGGGCACTGGCTCGATATCAATCCGCGGTCCTCCGCGAAGTGGCCGATTGTTGGCCTCAGCGCGTCGGAAACCACATGGTGAAATAAATACACACGCAACGACGTGGAGCACCAACACGTACCTCAACCGCAGCTCGGAGGCACGAGAACAGCACCTGAGAACAACATCCTGTTGTGAGATCGGTTCGCGGCTTGGGCTATACCACGCATCATCGCTTCTTGCTCACCGTTGCTCCCCTCGCCAAGTTGTCAGGGAAAGCGTTGCTGAGGTCGCCCGCACTGGACCCGAGCTCCAGGCACCTGTTCACCGGCCTGTTCGTCCTCTGAGAGACCAGGTGATCAAACGCCGGGGCGACGGAGCCGGATAGACCCCACAGCTGGAAGACCTTCACGTCCTTGCTCGTGAGCGTGTCCACGTCCGCCCAAGGGGGGCCGGAGTACTCGGGCAGACCCGACGAACGCTGCTCCCCGTCGCTGCCACAATCGCCGTCGTCGCCGCCGCCGTCAATGGACGAAGGTGCCGAAAATTTGAGGACAGTTGGCGGGACCAAGTCCGCGCAAATGCCGTGGCAGTCAGAGATCTTGCAGAGGGAGCGCGCGGTCGCCATGCCCTTTGTTCGGCAGAACACGTGAAGGTCGGCATCCTCCGTCTCGCCTGTCAACGCGCTCCTGGCTCGCAGCAGCGAGAAATCGCACGGCTGGCGGGGGGGAAATCAACGCGAGCGAAGACGACCAGAACCAGTGAGCCCGGCGACGAGGGGGGAAGGGGGGACCACGCGGAAACCGGAAACCGGGAGTCACGACGGTCGAGCGAAAGAAGACGACTTGTTGCGAGGAACTCCCTTCCCCCCCCCCCCCCCCCCCCCCCCCCCC